TACATCCCAAGATCGTATTTGCCTTTTTCACGGCCATGTCACAATGGTGGCTCATAGTCATTCTATAATCAACCAGGACTCCGAGGTCCTTCTCCTCCTCCGTTACTTCCAACTGATGTGTCCCCAGCTTATAACTAAAATTCTTGTTATTACTCCCTAAATGCATAACCTTACACTTCTCACTATTAAATTTCATCCTATTGCTATCACTCCAATTTACAAGATCATCCAGATCTTCCTGTTTAATATCCCGATCCTTTTCTGAATTAGCAATACCTCCCAACTTTGTGTCATTTGCAAATTTTATCAGGACATTTTTGGTGCGAAGGTCAGCGATAAAAAGATTAAATAAAATTGGCCCCAAAACTGATCCCTGAGGAACTCCTCTAGTAACCTTCCTCCAACCTGACAGTTCACCTTTCAGTATGACCCGCTGTAGTCTCCCCTTTAACCAGTTGCTTATCCACCTCTCAACTTTCATATTAATCCCTATCTTTTCCAATTTAACCAATAATTCCCCATGTGGTACTGTATCAAATGCCTTACTAAAGTCGAGGGAGATCATATCCACTGCATTTTCTTTATCTAAAAAATCTGTTACTTTCTCAAAAAAGGAGATCAGGTTGGTTTGGCACGATCTACCTTTTGTAAAACCATGTTGTAATTTGTCCCAATTGCCATTAGCCTCAATGTCTCTAACTACTTTCTCCTTCAAAATTTTTTCCAAGATCTTACATACTACAGATGTCAAACTAACAGGCCTATAGTTACCCAGGTTGCTTTTTTTCCCTTTCTTAAAAATAGGAACTATATTAGCAATTCTCCAGTCAAATGGTACAACCCCTGAGTTTAGAGATTTATTAAAAAAATTTGCTAATGGTCTTGTTAGTGTCATCTACCTTTAACACTATTTCTTGGTACCGATACCAAAAACTGTGCTTATAAGAAAATGTTTATTTGCATGGTTTCCAGTGGACCTGGTGCCTTAGGGTGCATCTACATGACGGAAACATATAAACCTGAATCAGCAAGTTTCAGAGCCTGCATCAACAAACTCGGGCTCACAAGATTTTCATTATAATGCAATAAAATACAGTGAAGGTGTTTCTACTTGGGCTCAGAGATCCGCCACTCTTGTTGTGTTTCAAACCATTTGCTTCTGGTCTGTCCCCTAAGCCCTCCCAACTGTCTAATTCAGAAGCCGCCCAACTGTGAGACAGGAAGAATGTTCAGGAGCAGAGAAAAACAGATAATTCAGGAAACTGCTCTCAGTTTAGTGAGCTTGGAAAATTCCTGAAGAAACCTGCCATCATGGAAAGAAGGGAGTGTACTGTTAAGAGAGACTCATTAATCTGGCCATATACATTGATCAAAACAATAATTACTCTCTTACTAGAATATTTACGCAGCATAACTAAATTATGGGGTTTTGGAAAATAAAATGTACATGCTTTGTTTAAATCATTACTCTGGGTTGGGATTGGTGATGAAGGGTTCAGTCTGCAGGTAGCCCCAGGGAGAGAGGACTACCCCAGGCTTCTCTCACTGCAGCAGCATGGGGCCAGGTGAGAAGTCCTCTCCATGACTTCTTCGGAAAATAAAATCAGGATTTTAAGAGGAATAAGGGATCTTCCGGAAAAGGCTTTATTTTCCGAAAGATCCCGTCTAGACTGGCGCTTTTTAAAAGCGGTGGCCATGTTCATGCAAATGCTGCGGGGGATATTTAAATCCCCCGCAGCATTTGCAATTCCGACTTGTCTCATTAGCATCCCTTTTCCGGAAAAGGGTGCCAATGTAGACACAGCCTTAATGTTCACTTTGTGATATGCACATTGCAATCATGTGGGAAGACACGGTCCCTGCCCTGAAGAGTTTACAGTTTAATATGAAAAGCAATATAAATGTAAAAAGGACATGACAGAAGGATGCGATCATATAACCAGCTATTTCTGATTTTCTGAGTACTTACTCATTCACTGAGTAATTCTTATAAGCAATATGGTACATGGAGGGCTTGAATAAAAGTAAGAGTGGTTCTATTCAGGGAGGAAGTTCCATGCATAAAGGATAGTGTAAGTGTAAACACTATGTAGGAAAAGCAGTCAAATACAGAATCAAGTCTGGCATTACTGATAGCACAAAGGGGGTGGATTGTGATACCAAAGCAGGTAAATTGGAAGGGGCACAGCTGAGCTTTCAAGGAATGTAGTATCTTAAGAAATTATTAACATTTAATTTGTATTAAGTAATTGAGATTTTAATTGTTTTGTAGATGCCTGATGGATAAAAATTTCATGAGGATTGGAAAATGGTTTATCAGGCCTTACCAGAAGGATGAGAAGCCTGTTAACAAAAGGTAAGGAAGTGATTTATCACAAATAGTATGAGGTGTCTCAAATAATGTCGCTGTTATTGCTAAAGTTTTGATATTATGGTTGTTTTCTTTAAGTTGTAGTGTTTTTCACCTGCTCTGCCCCCATCTCCTTTATTGTGAAAATGAGCCTTTTTTCTTTCAAGTTGCTGCAGTAATGCATGGTGATACTTGTAGATTACGAGATCATGTTAATTTTGCTAATTTGCACTGGAAGATGATGTCTGTATATAATCTTTCAATTCTCCATAACAGGTTTTGAACTGTGTCTGTATTTTGTTGCCTGTTGTAAAGTAGATTTTAGATTGCCATGAACAGATATTGTTTCCCAAAATTTACCCTAATATCTAACTTTTAGAAGTGAAATATGGTATAGATTTTTAAAATGTATCTGCTTTGAAGAATTTTAGCTTTTATAATTACTTTAAAATTTAATTTCTATGTGATTTACATGCAAAAACTACTTGGCAAGGCTTTACAAGAATTGTATGTTTAATTTATAGCCATTTGTTGAATATGACATATTTGGTTTTGTTTGAGGTATTTTACCCTGTATAGTATTGCTTTGGAATCAGTGATCCTTTATGTTCTGATTATAGCATACTATTGCAAAGGACAGCGTTAACAAGGTAGTTTAAAACAATAGTATTTTGTACCATCTTGTAAGATTAGCACAATAATTTAAGATATATCTGTCTACTTTTCTAAAATGAAAAAACGTTGTTTTTCTTGTAGCCTTTAAATGTTTTTCAGGACAGAGAGAAGCTACGATATTTTGATTATTATTTAGTAGGTTGATATATAAGCATCTTATCTCTGGAAAACCAGATTTAAAATTCTTATTTAGTGCACAAATGAAATGTATTTGACAGTCTCATTCTGTTTCCTGGGGAACATTGATCCACAACACCAAAGCATCTGGCACAGCTACTAGTCTCTGATCAAAACTAAATCAGAATTAGAATGGAAACCATTATAGGTCAGGATTGAGGTGTATTTGCAATTTGAATGGGATATCCAGGGGGGTGTTATGAAGCCTGTTAACCCTTACTTGCCTTTACACCAGTGCTAAGAACCTGCCTAAGAAGAGGAGTAGGAAGAGTTGCTCATTTGTGAGCATGAATGGGATGATTTACATGATTGAAATGTTAAAATCAATGGTTATAACCTGATTAGGAAGAATCGAGTGGAGAAAAAAGGAACCGAGAATGGTGCTCTATCAAAATTGGCATTTCCTGTGTCTGAGTCACTGAGAAATTGGAAAAATATCTTGGTGACATATACTAGAAATCGTACGGTGCTAACACTAAAAACCTCACAGATTTTGCATTCAACATGGGGCATTCTATATTAGACCTTATTTTGACAAAAAAGAATAGGGCACAGAAGAAATGATAGCTTACAATCAAGTAATCATGAGTTGATCACATTTATAATGTACAAATAGAGTTAAGTCAGACTTGGTGCTTTATAAAGGCCAGATTTACAAAGCTGAAAACAATTATTAGCCAAATTAGGTGGGATAAAAATTTAATCAGAAAATGTGTATGATAATTGAGAATTGTTGAACAGTTCCTCAAAAGGCAACATCAAGGAAGAAGGCTGTGTTAGATAAAAACTGACATGATTTAACAAATTGAAGAAGGGGGAAGTTGATAATTTCTCATTTATATTCATCACTAGGAATTGTAAAAAAGTTGATAAGGGAAGCAACATGGTCAACAGAGTTAAGGATAATAAGATTTTTTTTTAAAGAATATTAACAGTATTGGTGCAGTAATAGATAAAAATGGTAGAATTATGAATAATACAGAAAAGGCACATACAGACCAAAGTTTCTGTTCTATACTTGGGGATAAAAACAGATGATGTACTCATGTCATAGAGTCATAGAATCATAGAACACTAGAAGTGGAAGAGACCTTGAGAGATCATCAAGTCCAGTCTCCTGCTCTCAGGTCAGGACCAAGCACGGTATAGATCAGTGGTCTCCAACCTTTTGGGGCTGCTGGGCACCCGGGGGCGGGGCTGCGCATGCGCTGCGAGCCCGGGGTCACACATGCACCGGGCTCCCGGGTGCAAGAATGGCTCGGGCCAGCCCTGGTCACTAGGCGGGCGCACTTAAATGTCCCAGCAGGCGCTATGGCACCCACGGGCACCACGTTGGGGAACACTGGTATAGATCATCCCTGATAGAGTCTATCCAACCTGTTCTGAAATATCTCCAGTGATGGAGATTCCACAACCTTCGTAGGCAATTTATTCCAGTGTTTAACCACCCTGACAGGAAGTTTTTCCTAATGTTCAATCTAAACGTCCCAGGCTGCAATTTAAACCCATTGCTTATTGTCCTATCATCAGAGGCCAAGGAGAACAATATTTCTCCCTCCTCCTTGTAACACCCTTTTAGATACTTGAAAATTGCTATCATGTCCTCTCTGTCTTCTCTTTTCTAAACTAAACAAGACCAATTCTTTCAGTCGTCCCTCATAGCTCATGTTTTCTAGACTATTAATCATTTTTGTTGCTCTACTTCGGGACTTCTCCAATTTCTCCACAGCTTTCTTGAAATGTGGTGCCCAGAACTGGACACAATACTCCAATTGAGGCCTAATCAGCGCAGAGTAGAGCGTAAGAATGACTTCTTTATACTTGAACTGCAGTACCCAGAACTGGACACAATATTACAACTGAGGCCTAATCAGTGCAGAGCAGGGCCAGACTGACCCTTCTCATGTCTTGGTCACAACACACCGGTTAATGCCTCC